ATTAATATCACTCTGTAATTAATTAAAAATGTTTTTGTCAACATTAAAGCAATCTTATTGCAATCTTATTATTATATGAACTCTTCTTTTTAATTAAAATTTATAATAACAAATTTGACAAACTTATTTCAGATTTTTTTAGAACCCTATATGATTTCCGTTTGATGTGAAGATATATATATATATATATATATATATATATATATAAATCTACGTTTTTTAAAAAATTGTGTCCTTAAGAAAAACGACGTCCCTTTTTACAGAGAGAAAGATGTTTGTTCGTATGAGAGAATTCCTCTCAGAACTTCGCTCGAATAGTCAAGGTCTCACGACGAAGGGAATTCGCTTTTTATCGCGGACGGAAGGATCGTTGCGAAGCTATTCTTCATTTCTCCTCCTCTTATTGTCTCGGTCAGTCCGGCAAAATCTACTCGGACGTAACGGCGGGGGCAATAAAACGGCGAGAAGTTTTCTTTTATTACCTTCCGTTCCCGCGGCTGAGAAACGAAATTTTCTCCTCTCCTCGCTTCCTTCCTCCCTCTCTCTCTCTCTCTCTCTCTCTCTCTCTCGGCTTCTTCTCGCTCTCAAAGCACAAACTTCGGAACTTCGCGAGTTATTTTAACTTCCGACAAAGGACAAAGAGATCTCCGTGTCGCGATGCGCATAATGCTCCTTGATAGTCATTGTCTATAGTCATTGTCTCGAGCGTCTGCGTACGAAGCGATTGAAAATTAAGGAGATCGCGACACCGGGTCGACCTTTATTGTCGAGCAGCACCGCAGAATCGACGATACCCGCGGGGTAGAATAACCCGGAAGAGCGTCACGTGAGAATATCTCCTGGCGATCTCCGGCGAGGAGGCGCGAGTGAAAGTGAAACACAGACAGACAGGTGTGCCTAACCGATCGCGGGGGAATCAACGTGGCTGCAATGAGAGGAGAGACCTTTGCGCCTTTGGTGAAATTCATGATGGGGTTATACTAATTCTATAGATTCGCGCGAAGCGGAGGATAGACGCGAGAGTATACGGGCATAACGCGCGACGCTGCAGCCGCGATTTGAACTTTCGCTCGCTCGCTCGCAGCGCATTGAGTTCAAAGCGGGACGTAAGTTGATGCCGGCTGCGAGATACGCTACTCCACGCTATCTCGAACCACGTTGGATATCATTTGTTAGCGATTTCTCATCCGATGTGTAACGTCATCGCGCGTTCCTCAAGAGCGCGGATCTCGTTCCTTCCCGTCGTAATTTCACGAAAGAGGTCTCGCGAGAGAGAGAGAGAGAGAGAGAGAGAGAAATATATACGGCGATTAGCGCCGTGTGAACGCGCGCGCGGATGAAATATCACCAATAAGCCGAAAGGCGAGTTCACTCGCGTGGGTTTCTTCTTTTTTTGCGGCTGTGATAGGAGGAGGAGATGAGGACGGGAGGACGAGAATAAAAGGGGTGGGTGTGGCACCGGTCTGGTGGAACTCTGACTCATCGTGACCTCGTCCCAGACGACCGCCCGTCGTCCATCAGATCCCGAATTTATCGCGAGGAGTCGCGACGAGACGGGGGAGTTTTACCGCAGGAAATTATTAGAGGAGGAAGCACATCGGCGGCGGCGGAGAGGAAAACTAGGATATTCCATTGTATATAATCGACAAGCGCACACACACACACTAAACACTCTCTCTCTCTCTCTCTCCCGGTCAGAATACAACCGAGAGAAGTGATACGCTCTCGGATATATATTCCCTCCTTTAGAATTTCACGCCACTTCGATCCGCGATAATCGGCGCGCAGAACGCAATTTCGCAATACTGGAATCTCTGACGTATATGCACAATGCGCGCCCGCGAGGAATGAGCGACGCGCCGATTTCACGCTCTACATAAATCGCGACAAAAGTTTAACATCGCGCGCCGTCGGGCTCGCTATCGTCCGCTATCAATCGAGCAACCGAACTCGAGCATCGAACAGGTGCTCATCTTTCGACCTAGAATTTCAAGTATTACTTCAACCGCCGAGCAATATGCGGCCTGTGCATATCGATTTACCTAAAAGTGGAGCACTCGGTAGCCCGTACGTATAGACAGTCGCGAAAAAAAAAATAGGCATCAATGCGCCATAAAAGAGTAGATTGTAATTTTACGTACAGTAATCGGCTGTGTAAATTACAAGAAGAAAAATGTCCGCCGAGATGAGAGCACAATATCGTACTTTCGGAGCCCGAGTCGCTTTCTAGTTGCGATTTTTCCGAGGGCACTTAAGCTCCCTTTTCAGGACACTTTTGATCCTGGGTCATCCCTTTCAACTCCCTTGAATAGAACTCCCGGGATGTCGGGGAAAATTTTGTCGGCAATATCGCGACTATATTGCGACGAAGTTCGATGCTCATTTGCAATTACGTTACAGCGTTATAGCTTGGTATAAGTGGTACAATATCAATCGGTCATTTGTCTCTCTCGGAGACAGCCGGCGAGACGGTGGAATATACTGTGCGAATACGAGTCGAGCTCTTCTTAATTCGGATTATTTCCGTTTAATCAAAATTTCATTATGTTTTCATTTCTTCATAAATAATGTATGTCTCAATGGATAACTCCGTCACCGGAGGCGGCCCACGGAGGCAGATCCGTGGCCCACGTGTACGAGATGAATTACACATTCGCGGCACCTTTTCCAGCCATGCGAAAATTTAACTGCGTTACGTATCTCCCCGATGCAATCCGCTCGCGGAGAGTTCGCCTACGTGTTTCCGAATGTATTTCCGTTGTACACGTATCTCGATATACGTGCATATACGTATATCGACAGCGTCGCGATAAGTTAAAAAAAAAAAAATCATAAACGCGTCAGAGGGGCCTTGCAAAAATTATGAAGTTTTCATTTTGTTTCGAAGTTGCGTCTCACCGGCGGCTCTTCGGCATTCCGCGTCACATCCGTTGCTCATTTTCGTTTTATTAAGAGGGATATAATTGCGGACGGATTTCGCGTGCGACCCGTCCTTTCTTTAATAAAGACGGGCGCACTTAATCGCGTCGCTCACGAGTTCGCATATTCAACCGCGCGGCGGCGGTTATTTATACTTGCTCTAATGAAAAAAGCGATTCTCACCGCGTACACACGCCCACGGGTAATCAGCGGTCTGATTTATTCAGGGAATCCTTTTTACAACGTTTCGAACGCCGTTTTATCGAGCGGCCTTCGGTGGCGAATAAATGCGGCCGGGGGAGGATCTCGCGAAGTAACCGATAGCGGAAGATTAATACTGATGCTTACAGCGAAAGGATATAAAAACTCAGATCCGTTCTTTTCTTTTCTTGTTCACAGCGACTTCAACAGCCTGAACAAGGACGATGTGTACAGGAACAACGAGCTGGCGTTCCGAACGGCCGAGCAGCATCTCGGGATCCCCGCGCTCCTGGACGCCGAGGACATGGCGTCCTGCACGGTGCCCGATCGATTGTCCATCCTCACCTACCTCTCGCAATTCTACCAAACTTTCGGAGGTGAGTCCCTGCGCGCGCGCGCGCGCGCGCGATATAGATTTCTTCGTCGAAAAAGCGAATCGGCTTTATTAAAGAACATAAACGTTTGCAATCGTCTTATTTCGCGAACTGTAAACATTCTCCGGCTCTCGGAATGCGTTGAAAGATTTAATTAAATTCCTCGATTCCGACAAGCTCGCCGCTCGCCCCCGTTACAGTATTAAATCCCCGAAACTGAAATAATCCGAACACCCCCTAAAGTCGGCGGCTGCATTTGGCATATTTCCTCAGCTCGTATTGTTTTTTCGGGAGATATTTGGATCTGACCCAAATAAGCACGTCGCGAATAGTCTGAGGAATACATATTCTAATGCCAGTTTTCATTTCCAATCTGGCTATATATATCGACCGCTCTTCCCTTAAACGGCTCTAACAATTCCGATTCGGAAAATACAGCCGGAGATTGTTTTTCCTCGAAGCAACGTTTCCTACAACTCTCGTAGTCGATCATCGCGCAGTGTCTCTTTTATCATTTCAACGTGAATTTTTTTGCGGAAAGAAAATTTTTATGCAAACTTAGTTTGCGTAATTCACTTTTCCTTCGTTGTGAAAGATCGATCTTTATACGATTTTTATCGAAACGATGATAAAGCGCGAGTAAATTCGATTGTACTTTACACGCATTAAAAATTTCCACGGGCAAACGACGAGAGACCTCGCGATTCGTGTCCCTAATACTACGACACCGCGACTCCGATTCTTCGAGAATCGCGCGCGCGCGAAAAAAAAGAGAGCGTGTTTTTATCGGCACACACATCACGTTCGTTTTCAGGCTGAAATCAGGCGAGTCCGATCGACAGGCGGTGACGTTCGAGACGTCGCAACGCATTAATATCTCGTACGCTCGACACGATCGCGCAGCCCGTTACTAAATAGGCCAAATATAGGCCGCCGCCACCGCCGATCGGGCTCGTGTCAGCGATTGGTTCCTAGCTTTCTCCTCTTCGCGGACCGGCGTATCTCTCTCGCAATTGTCCCTTCGATTAATATCACGCGCGTGACGCCTGTCGCGGAAGTCGGCGATATACAGGCCGAGGTCGGTAATATCTGCGCTTCGACGTGACGGCGCGAATCTCGGGGCCGCGGAGTATATACAGATCGTTTCGAAATTCCGAAAGCTGACTCTTTCTTCTCGATCAACGTCTCGCGCGATGTGAACGTATAAATGTATCGATGAAATTTTTTTCCCGTCCCGTTTAAAGCTCCGGGAACACGAATATCATGCAGATTCTGAATCTCTTCGCGTTTCTCGTGATCGACAACGCGACGCAGCGCGACGCGGCCGTCTCGCGAAAAAGCGGCAGGAAACTCTCCTGCGTCGATGTTTAATTCGCCGTTTTTATCGGTCCCGCCGGGACTCTGATTATCAGGAGCGCAATTAGCCGGCTGTCCGATTGCGAGGCTGCATAGCTTTGAAAATTTGAGTAGCCACTTGTTGAGCCTCCGCAAGATTTGCATTCCTTTTTCCGCGGCTTTTTCGTCGTTTCCCCATTCCCGATCGGAAAATAGCTGCCGCGCCAGCGGCATCGACCCCTTTACGTTGTCGTTTACAACCACTTGTTGAACGAACGTTATTACGTCGTCCTCGCCATTGTTACGAAATTTTCGTCCTCCTTTGCGGCGGGACTAGCGCGAAACAAGTCAAGTTCGCCTCGCGAATTACACGCGGCAGATACGCCTGTTAGGCGGGATATTTAATTTTTTTTTTCAACGCGTATCTAAACGCCGTGATTAATTTATGCCGTAATTATTGGTAGAATCGAATTTGTCCTGCCCCAAAATACGAAGAACGCGATGCTCAAATTTCTCAGAGCGAATTAGCGATTCTCTCGCGTCATTTATTAATAAAATCAAAGCGCCGCTCGTCGACGTCTATATATACATACAAAAACGGCAGAAACTTCTCAAAGCTAAGCTTTAACGGTAAATTGGAAGGATATTTCATACATATATATCGCAATCCTTTTACCTTGCCGGCCTGCATCGAGAAGATTGGCGTGAATTATTTGATTTCCAGCTCCCGGCTTCGCGCTCGCTTTGAAACCCGGCGGCGTTTCGTTACGCAAAGTGTCGATGTTATACCGTGCCTCTCGCGTCGCGATCTCTAATCTTTTCTCCCTCTGGTCCCTCCGTTCTCCACTGCAATTGCACACGCGAGACTATAGGGGGAAGCGCGCGATATTTTCGCTGGGGATATCATTCGAGCTTATATATTGACGCTCTCTACGCGTCGCTAGAGACGAGATATCCGTCGGCGTGATGCCGCAATCTATTAAAAAGGCCGTCCTTCCTCTCTCCGCTCTTCCGCCGCCCCCCTCCTTCCCCTTCCCCTCTTCCTCCGCTTCTAATCTCATGGAGAATTCCAGCCTCCCGCAGATTAACCGTACCGTTAACCTTTGAACGACGGTTAATTCCGATCGGTAGGTATAAGGTATAGGAGGAAGACGATCCTTTTCCTCGGTTGCACCGAGTAAATGCCCGGTCCGGTCGCGAATTAACGCGATCGTGAGGACCAGTACCGTTTCCTGAAATCACTACCTACAACGAGGAAATTGCCGCATTGCTCGGTAGTCGACGTCCTGTCCGCTTTATAGCTACATTAGGCCGCGCGTTCTCAGCGGCAGCGGCGACGGCGACGGCGACGACGGCGGCGCTACGGGATTAGACTCGCCGCGCGCCGGGCGGGACGATGGAGCGTCGGACGTTTGTCTTACGTTAGCGCGCGGCGAAGTAGAAGCGGAAGGTTGAGGAATATACACTTATCGAATCTCGCTACTATACAGAGATACTCTCGACTATACTCTCGTACTTACCACACAGAGCCGCTCGTCGCAGCGGCGGTATATCGACCGCGCTGTAATAAAAACCGAAAGAATGGAAACCGAGATAAATGCTTCCTCGAGTACGCGCGCGAAATCTCTGCAGGTTATTACAAGCCGCATTTCGCGTTCCCCCCGCGTCGCTGACACGAGTAGCAGCAGCAGGAAAAAAAATGTGTCAATTGTGTCACGTGAATTTTACACTTTGGATCTCACACGAGGTTGATCGGCACCGTAAATAAGCGATTTTTTTTTTATATATACACAAGCGCGCCGAGTTGGATAACTTTTCTTCGTACCGCCTTGCAAAAAAAGGAAAAAGTCAATATTGTCGTTCAAACAGAAGCGTATTTCCGCTACCACTCGCCGGCCACAATAGCGGTACTTTCAGCTCCCCGTGCATAAATATTCACCCGACGAAGGAAACTTGCGCGGGACGTTCCATAAACCACGGCTTTTCATCGGGAACAATTCAAACGAAACAACCACCTCCGCATTAAATTTCTCGTTAAAAAAAAAAGTCAGCTTTTTATTCTTTATAATGCCGTTTCGTAATTTTATCCATTTTTCTTCTCCTAGTAGAAGTTATTATTTTAATAACGACACGAAACAATGGTTCATTACAGGGGATTGAAAGAGAGTGTATTTTTCTTTTTACGTTTTTGTCGCAGGATCTTCACCGAGCCGTCTGGCGACGAACAGAACGACCGAGACCGCCGACGAGAGGATCGCCCCCGTTCCAGAATCTCCTAAACAAAAGGTACACACGATTCAATTTATGATTACAACACGATCAATCAGTCGTTCATTCGTTCGATCGATCGAGGCAGAAACACACATACGCTTCTCGTAACTTTCTTTCGCCCGGTTCCCCTCCTTCAATGAATGTCGATTACGTAATTTATTTACACGTATAGTAGTTTCATAAGTCTCTCGCGGGTTTGGAAGCTCCCCTCAAGCTTTTCCAGAGCGGAGAACCGTCGTAACACGTTGAGTGACATTATACACCTCCTCGATCCGTTTCAGCTTACGCAATCGCGCGAGTCACCTTTACGCGCGAAAGCGTATATACGCCATGCGAGACCACGCGAGCTATTCTTGTTGTAATCGCTTTATCCTGTCTCGCGCATTTTATCCTGCACAAACGAATGCGAGATCGTGAATTAGCAAGACGATCGGACGGACTTCACCATGTGAGTCACACCGTGTTTACCGTGACTTCGACCACCGCTCAACGTGTTAATCCATCATTTTCTCACATCTTCCTCTCCTCTCTTTCTGTCTCTCTCTAACCATCGCATATCGCGTATTCATCGCGAGACCAGTCGACCCACCTCGCCACCAACGCATTTTCAGACGCGCGATTTTAATAGCGGCGCCGAAGGAATCGAATCCGGATTTTCCCCGTGCTTATATAGATCGCTGCCTGAGAAATCTCGAGGAAAGTCCCCGAGTGCGATGTATCGCCTGTTCATGCGCGGTTTACCTTGACACCGACGCGGCTTGATCGTCGCGCGTTGCAACAACAGCCAACAACAAATGCCATCGCCGTTGCGTTTGCGTAATCACGCGCGCATAATTATCGGCGTGCGCGCGCGCGCGCGCGTGTTCCCCTTTTTCCTTATATACATATATACATTATATATTCGCCCTTTTTCCATTATCTCGCTTGATGGCCAGTCGAAGATGAGAGCGTAGGCGGGAGGAGATAGATCCTGACCGTCCACACGATTGCACACACGGTAGTGATACACGCGCACGAACGATCGATTGTAATCTTTGTGTCGACGACATTTCAGGAACCGTCAATTTTATGTGTCCGAGAAAATCGATAACAATAGTTATGCACGTTTATAGTGTTATGCAATACGGAGCTGGTATACGTGCTGTTTGCCTTACGTTTGAAATACCTTGCACTTTCGATGGCTTGCGCCTTCTGCGAATGATTGATTGCGGCCGCTCGTCGATGTTTCAAAATGTGTCAGTCTTATATGTGCGAGACTTGTCCTCCATGAAAGTTTGCGATGTCTATTTCATTTGTCATCTGTCGCTTTTGCGAAACGAAACTTTTGCGCGGGGAAGCCTTTTTTTTCTCCCGGCTCTCGTGCGACGAAGGTAAAGGCAACGACGATCTCGGACCGTCGATATGGCAACTTCGAGTTCGCGAAACTCTTCCGCGTAGAAAATGACTCCGAGAGACACGCCGAAGGTCACGGAGCGAAGAAACGGTACGGTTGGCGTGCGCGGTATATCGGTCCCGGAGGATCCATTTAGCCGGTGATTTCGTGGCCTGCAACAATGACCGCTTCTGTCAGTCATGCCGGCCGTCTTCGTGATCCCGATTCCCGGACTCTTCCTCGTACTTATACCGGCCGTACTTTTCGCTATTGCTACCTAGACCGATACGGACGACCCGAGACCTTAATAAGCGGTCGGGGAGAACATTTGCATTCGCTGGCGGCGAGTACACGAGAGAGAGAGAGAGAGAAAGAGAGAGAGGAGTATCGCGGCGTGGCGGCGAAGGATTTCGGTCGAGCGAATTGCGGGAAAACGGGACCGCGCGAGAAAATGTCCGAGATTTTTTGCATCGCAGCTCCAATAACACCGACAGTTATTATTCACTCGCTTCTCCTCTTCCCTCCTCCCGGGGGAACCCTTGCGCCTCGCGAACTGACACGCAAAGCGAACGTCGGTTTGGCCCGAGACGTGATCGTGAGCAAGAAGTTACCGTTGCTCCGGAACGAGAGGCGCAGCAGTTTGCTCGCGAATTTCTTCAAGGTCTCGTCGACCGTCCCCGACGGCGGTATTCCCGACGGTTATTTCCGAGCAGCCGCGCGAACTCTGCGGAACTCCGCGCGCGCGTCCGAGCATGGAAGAGCCTGTAGGACTCTGGAAATGTTGAGCTCGACTCGCTCGAAGTGGAAGTCACGCGCGAAACGTAGGTCAGATTCTGTTACGAAGTTGTGACAATTCCGATGACAAGACGGTGGAACAAGACCGGGAGAGAGGGGGGGGGGAAAGGGTGCCGTTAGGCAAAGTTCGCGAACAGGTCGGGCTCTAAAAGCATAGACGCGTCCGTGCGCGACGCGCATTACGAAATACACTCCGGTTGTGTCTGAGATATATCGCCCGCGCGTAGTCAAGTTCGCATCAATTATCTCCTATCGCGGACTTCGCTCGCTTCGAAGCTCGACACATACACACAACGCGCGCGCGCCGCAATTTCCTCGTTACGAGGATTCGAGTCGACTGTCAGTCTGCTTCACGCCACGCGGCTGATCCGCAAAGTTGTCGAAAGATCGAAGCGAGGGAGAGTAGTTTCTAAACGAGTCGTAATTCCCGGTCCGTCGAAAAGGAACGAAGAAAGGAACGAGTACACGTACATGTGTACGACGTCGAGTGTCCGTTCTCGCGTGGGTCGAGTTTCGTTCATTACGGTTCGCATAACCGCCCGCCATAGTTAAAGCTGACACGCGTGAGTCACGCGGCTGAACCCACGGACTGTTAGGCTTATGCAAGAACGGCCGCGGACTGTTCGTCTGATTGGCATGGAGCGAGGAAGAAAAACAAAAAAAAAAAGATCTGGCTCTCTCTAAAAGCCGCTCGGCGAAAATTATCCCAGGCGAGAAAACGAAATAGAAATTAATGAAATTAACCGAAGCGAAGTGCAGCCGTTATAAGTATTACGTCTGACTGAACGATCCCCGCGCGCGGTTACTTAAGTCAAAGTTCCCCGGCAAAACTTGTCGCTCGTCGTCGCAACTTGAAACGTGTGCAGCAGTGTCAATCCCTCATCTCTCATCGTTTATTTTTGTTCTCCAGGAGGAAAGCTTGGACTTAATGGGGCAATATAAACCTGAAATATTCTGCTAGAAGGTAATTTCGCTTTGTCGTTATTGTTTTGCTTGCCTATGGTTGATCGTTGTTGGGTAACTGCATGCTGGCATGCTCTGACATACACGCACACACACAGAAACACAGCGCAATCGTTTGATAACACACGGTGTGATTCGAAAGAGACGGGAGATTTACACCCGCTAGATTTTTTTTTGCATTAATAACGGAGAAGAAAACGTAGAAGTAGCGCGGTCAAGCCGGATTCCAAAAGGAAGGCGGAAGAAAAAGAAGTAAGTTCGCGATGGCTCACGCAGGCTCTGCTTGACTCGGTTCTATACACGGGACAGCCGGAATGTCTTATTACTGCTCGTAGAAAATTGTTACGTTTCCTCGTGTCATGCTAGCTAACGACACAGACGAGCGTTATTCACCGTACGTTTTGCGTTTTTCCTTTTTATTTTACAATAAATGCGCGGAGAGAGACGCGAGTTGTCGTCGTCGTCGTCGTCGTCGTCGTCGTCGTCTCGCCCAGTCGTCGGGAGATCTGTTTTGCGCTTCCCTCCCCGTCGGAGAACAAATTCGTGCCGCGCGGGGACTGCGTTTTCCGAGGGAGTCACGGGGACGCGTGTAAGCATCGCGAATTTCAACGAGTATCGCAGATACGAATCGTCGTTGTCGTCGTCGTCGTCGTCGCGGAAGAAGTCTCGTCACGTTCCCCGCGACCGGAGACTACCGTCGCTCACTGTCTCAGAATAAACGACCCGTACGATTGTGTACCCGGCGCGTTGCATTCTTACGACGTCGCCGCCCGTGCTACCGTCCGGAGCAATCGATCCGGAAAAAACGATCGATCACCGTCAATCCACCCGTCGGCGACGCGACGCCTCGCGGTCTATTTCAAACGACTCGTCGTCGCCCGTCGGTCTCGCCGCAGTGCCATGCCTGAGCGCGATCGCGATCGCCTCGACCGATGAATTCCGACGTCCCGGAAGCGCCGCCGCGTCCGGGAAAGTCCATCGTCCCGCGATATTTCGGGACGAGAATGAGGAACCTCGCGCGTCCCGTGATCCTCTCTCTCTCTCTCTCTCTCTCTCTCGCACGCGCGCGCGTCTAATTGTAAGCCGAAAGCTCGGCCATCTCGTCTCAATTGCAATTCGCTTCATTTACAAAGTCTATAATACGTTACAAAGCCGAGGAAGGTAATTAATCACGAGCGGCAACTCGCCGGAGCGCGACGTTCTATTTATATGTCATTGCCACTCCGTTGCGTGTATACTCGGGATGTATGCACACGCACGCACGCACGCATTCGCTCGCTCGCTCGCTCACTTACTCACTCACTCACGCAATAGAAATCGGACGCGCGGTCAGCAGCCTCTGTAGACCCCGCGAGTTCTACGCAGTCGAATCATGCAGTCACATGCGTGCCGTTTACCGTCGCGCGAGGAACTACGCGGAGGAACGGGTAAGAGAACGTCGAAAATTTCGCTCTCGATTTCTTTCTGCCGGGACAAAGGCTTTAATTAACGAGATTAATTCTCATGCACGTCAGTGATTCTATATGGCGTGTACGGTGCGCGATAAAAGGCTCTCTATAGAAAGAGAGAGAGGGAGGAAGAGAGAGAGAAGTATGACGAGGAATAACAAAGTGTCTGGATTTTCAGCGGAGCCACGTCGTCGACGGTATCGCAACGGCGTGACGAGCAAAGCCGGTTACGCGTAATAACGTCGCGTTTATCGCCAATCAAATTAATTAACCGCGCGCTTAAATGCCGCTCGAATCGTTCGGACGCGACCGTTTTTTGCGCTCCCGCGAAATCGTCGCTGCCGAGACGCGTCGCCGCGACGACAGCTGTTTCGGCGAGAAACGCCGGCTTTTTTCGACGCAGATCCGCCAGATTCGTTTAATTAATCACGATTAATCGCGCGAACGCACTCGTACATTTATTAATTCTCCACACGCTCGCGATAACGCCGCGCTTAATAATATGCGTTTTAACGATAATCGATGTATCTGGCGAAATAAACGCAATGTTTATTTAACACGCGACGGATCGCGATGGAAATCGCGAAGCGAATCTTTTTTTTTTGTTTTTGTTACACTAACCCGCGATCGATCGCCGCTTTATTTAACCGCCTATGGAAAACTCATGCACGTGGCGTCGATGAAAGTTTAATGGGGGATCGATCTTGCGGTTAGCAACCTATCATTCGTGCAATTTTTCAACCGAGAAGAATTAGCGTACGGGGACTTCAAGTCCTCGCGTATACGAATGACGCGATGAAAGATGCGACGGAGATATACCGCAGCCTGATTATTATTCATCGCTTTTTAATTAAATCAGTTTTCCACAAGCCGCATTTACATACGGTACTCATTTACATAATAAATAATCGATAATGAATTTTCCATAATTTCTACGTGTCTACAAAGAGGGAAGGGGAAGAGAGGGAGAGAGAGAGAGAGAGAAATTTCTTTAGATCTCTTTTACGTTATACCCTGAATAAATTTTCCTGTCAGCTAATGTCAGAATAATGCTCAATAAAACGTCCGTAATATTGAAATATCGTACAAAATTTTTCAATGTACCGCCGAATGTTTCGAGACCGCGAGCGTACAAAGAATCTCGCGAAATCCTCCCTCTTTTCTAACGTCCTTTACGTCAATACTTGGAAAGTTCAAAAGGAAAAATTCTAGAAAGAGAATATTCGACGGCAGTCGCCGTCTCTTTCAAGTCCCATATGTATACGAATGTGATGCGCATTTCATTTTTCCACGACGCAGGATTTAACTTGTGTGTGACGCAGCTCCATTCTTTCCTTAAACCCTCCCGCGCCGCGCGCGAAGCAAACGTTCTCATTATTACAGAGCCGGGCGATATACACTACAACGTAACACCCGTGGCACGTTCTGTATAGAAGTCACGCCGATCCGATGCATTATTGGATTCACCGGACACTAGATGCATACCGCGATAATACGAGAGATGTATGGCCGGCCGTGCTATTGTGGAAATTCGCTAGCTGTGTAAAAGACCGACACACGTAGTGGCTCCGATATCCAATGGCTCGTTACAAATGCGCGACCTACAATTTGCCAATATTTATCTCCCCCAGTCGTACGCTTTTCCGACCAGCGAGAGGGGAAAACCGATTTCCGCCGAATGGCGTGATAATGTCGTAAAAATTTCGCGCCATATAAAAATGCATGCCTTTTTTAATGATTTATACGAGAATCGCTACTTTGATCGCACGGAGTGTTGAGCGTTATACACGCGCGATAAACTAATTTAGAGAAATGACTCGTTCGTGTGTCTCTCTCGCGCCGATTAAACCGGTGATGGTAGCGATAGCGGTGATGGGTAGGCGCGTTTGCTAGAGTAAAACATATAGCGCGCACTATGCCACTATGAATATGCTAGAAATTAGAAATGTAGATAAAAGAATAATGACAGCAGCCTCCGGTGTATCCTGATAATGCAGGTGGGGTCGCGTCTGGGGATGCGGAGGGATCCGTGCGCCGCATGCGGGCTGCCGGTCTTCCTGGCGGAGAAGCTGCTGATAGCGCGCGTTCCTTATCACCGTACCTGCTTCCGGTGCGCCCGCTGCAGCAACCAGCTGACGCCGGGCAATTATTACGAGACCGAGGAGGGCCAGTACTGCTGCGAGACGTGTCCGGACGAGGAGGAGATCGACAGCGTGCGTCACAATTACGCCGAGCCGGCCATGTCCGGCGCGGAAAGGGAGACGAGTGAGCCGAGGCCGCTCAGCGACGAGGAGAAGACGGAGATGAAGGTCAGTTTTCGAGCTTTAAATATTCGTATAAGCGTTCGCGCTAAAGGCAGAAATCGTTTCGACGCGAGTTTCGTTATGCGCAGGGTGTATTGGAGAACGCTGCTGTACCCGATTTGATCTCCCATACGTCGCAGATGCGCAAGAATTTCATGACCAGCCACCTTCTTTCCGAGAAGCACGAGTCTACCGCGAAGGATGCGTTCGCGAGCACGAGAGACGACTCGGGTCATCGTGAGGAAATAAAAAGCAGGGTCGGCTCGGCATTCCCAGACGACGACGAGAACGAGGAGGAAGAGGAGAATGATTATGATGATGATGATGATGATGATGAAGAGGAGGAGGAGGAGGAGGAGGAAGAGGAATTCCGCGGCTCCATGATGGATTCCCCGGATGTGGAGGAGTCCAACGTTGAGCGATACGATGTACATAGCGCGTTAAATAGCTTAGACATTAGGAGCGACAAGGATCAGCGATCGACTGCCATTTCATTCCATGACATAGGTAAGAGGAGAAGAGAGGAGGAGGATACCAAAGAGTCGCCAGGACGCGCCGGTGAACGAGCCGAGACGAGACAGTCGTTGGTGCAGAAGAGGCTCCAAATGTTTGAGGGTCGCGATAAAACGGATCACGTCGACAGGACGGATCAGAGTAAGAAGAAAAATCCCGTGGCTCATGATGTCACGATGGTTCAGGGCGACTCCTGGCACCTGTCACCGGACGTTCTTCCGGCGAGCGACGAGGAAGAACGTCCGGAAAAGAGGCTCGAGGAAGACTCGATAATTAAAAATACTGATAAACGTAAAGACAGCTTCGAGAATATCGGCGAACAGCAGGATGAAGACTCGAAGGTTACAAATAACGAGGAGAACCACTCGAAGAATCTTGTAGGGGCGAGTAACGAAGGGCGCCTCGATAAGGATAAGCAGCTCGAGAACAGCTCGAAAGTCAGAAGTATTGAAAGGCGAAAGGAGAGCTTCGCGAAGATCGCGAAGAACGAACGGATCGAAGGCAGTGAGATTGATGGCAAGCATTACGATAGTGCCATGATGGGAAGCAGCGTGCTGACCGCGAAAGGCATCAATTTAAGTGACAACGGGGATTATCCGGAAGACCTGAATCCCTTCAAGAGCGACGAGGAGGATAACGCCGTGGAGGGTAGACCGCGGACTGTGATAAACAACTCTAGAAACAACAAAGCGTCGACTAATCCATTCGACAGCGAGGACGAGGACGTCGAGGAGCAGCCGGAACCGCCGAGACCGGCGGCGAGAAGTAAACCGGAGAACGGGGGAGCGTCGGTGACGAAGCGGGTCCTGGCCGCGCCGCAAATCAATCTTAATCCATTCTGGAGCGACGAGGACGAGGAGCACGGCAGCGACGAGGACAGAACGTCGCCTGAAAGTGCGCCCGTACCAAAACCGCGTACTATCAAGTATGTTTTGCACTTTACTCAAGCAGTGTTTTATCGCGAGAGTATTGCGATAATAATTTTTTATTATTATTATATTATACCAACAGGACCGCTCCCGAGGTAGGTGTCGCACCGCGGAGAGTCGATTTAGATCGTGGAGGCGTGTACGCGTCCAACAGTTCCTTAACCAGCTCCGAGTCAACCAGTACACCCGGTGGGACGTACAGGAAGAAGAAGCCTGCGCCGCAGCCACCGGTCGCGAAGGAACTGTTCCCGTCTGATCAGCGCGAATCGCCTGCGCTCAAATCGCACAACAGCACGTTACCCTCGTATCACGTAAGTATCCTAATTTGTTCTCTTTTGCAATTTAATCAGTTTTTAATCTTCAATTTGACACTGAAAAAAATTTATTATACAAATTACGCGATTTTAAAGGAGTCGTCGCTTCATACAACGCCACGGGCGCGAAAAGCCAAGCCGGCTCCTCCACCGCCAATGCCAACCAGCACGCCTCGCAACGTATCGATCGGGTTGAGTTTTGATGAGTCCCCCATAGTCAAGATTCGCGGCGACGATCGCAACTTGAACATGTGGGAAGATCAGAAGACAAACAAGGACGAGACGAATCGAAACAGGCAAAGTTTGAGCAGCGTCTCGTGCGGAACCGACAGCTCCTCCTACACGTCTTACGCCGACAAGAGTGTGCAAGGAAAGTGGAAGAGGAAAAAGGGTCCCGCCCCACCGCGACCGATTCCGCATAGGAGAAAGGTAGATCCTATCTTTTAGCGTAAGGCGTGTTTGTTACGTAAATTTTGTGCAGATTTCTTCGCGCAAGCTTGAAATTGCAACATTGAAATTTAAATTTTTGAATTAGATTTCAATGACGTAAATATAAATAGATAAGAGACGAAATTACATTATGTTTTTTTTTTGCAGATTAAAGTGATATCTATGAAAGACGTGAAGTTAGAATTAGACGAAATAGAATTGCAGCAGCAAGGCTTAGAAAGACAGGGTGTGCGGTTGGAACAGTTGATACGAGATAAATGCGAGTCTGGGCCTAGATCAGACGGTAAGGAACGCACGCTAAATAAATATGATAAATATGAACGTGTTTACAAAGAAAGTATTTACGTTAATAATTTACATTTAATCTAACAGATTCGTCGCTCGGTACGGATGTGGAGGAACTGGTCTTAGAGTTGTTCGCATTAGTGAACGAAAAAAATGAACTGTTCAGGAGACAGGCCGAATTGATGTTACTACGGAGGCAACAAAGATTAGAGGAGGAGCACGTCGAGGTGGAATATCAAATACGATGTCTCATGTGCCAACCAGAAGCTACTAAAACGGACTCCGACAAACACAGGGAAGAAGCATTGATACAAAGGTATTTTCGAAAAAAAAATTTATTTAATAAAATAAATGTTAAATATTAATGAAACTTGTGAACATGTAATATATAAACATTTTTCTTTTCCTCTAGGTTAGTGGAAATTGTAGAGAGGAGAAACGAAATTGTCGAATGCTTGGAGATGGATCGTCGAAGAGAGGTGGAAGAGGATAAGAGCATAAATAAGCATATGGGTTTATTCGCTGGTAAGCGAAAGTGACGGTAGATCGTGTATTAATGTAAAATATATATAAGATGTGAGTTCTTAATTGGCATTCGTCTTTCAGCGAGGAACAAGAATGAGCTGTCGGGTAAGGGCAACGATCCCTCTAACGCGGGGAAAACGAAGAAGGGAAAAGCGAAGGAGAAGGTAAAGGAAAAGAAGGTGAAAAAGGCCACGAAAAAGGATGCCGACAAGGATGTGGATGAGACTGAGGTGAAGCTCAAACGCCATGGCAAAAGAAAATGGTTTTGAGTTGCGATAGTGTTAATTACGGTTAATGATTACGCTAGATATAGAAGATATTGCATATTTAATACTTTTATATATATTTTTAACACCTCGTTATTTATGTATGTAGGAAGTTATGCTAAGGTTATTAATAAAATCACCCGTTTAATTGCATCCACATCACTTACCAATTGTATTATAGTCTGTAACTGGATTAACAATTGTTTGCCTGATTAGAGATAAATTAATCGTATCTAAGTAAAAAAAACCTATGTCAAATCTTCTGAAAAATCTTCAATATCCGAACAGGTGCGTCGATCGATTGTATCGACATAGTCCGTGTTGGTGAGTTACACTCTTCAAAAGCGAGATCGTGATTTTCTGAAAACAAGAATGAAATATTCAATTTTTTGATCGTTAAGTCTTGTCTCAGGTTTTCTCAATTGGCAAACGTTAAGCAACAATTAAAATACCTAAATGTTCCAAGAACTGCGCGACAGTGTCTTCGTTGCGAATAGTTGCGGCAAAAATAGCGAAATTATCCGACGTTAAGAGGCACTTCAATCCCGACGTCAACGAACCGAACGAGCTGCTTTCGTACAGAACATCGGCGGCAATAATTACGTCGGGCTGCGACGAGTCCTCCGACATGTGTTTATCTATATCTTCCCATCTCAAATCTATCACTTGAACGTCGGTCTGCTCGTACTTCAATCGCAACTGCAGCCTCGACGTCGTTTCGGACGCATTCGATAGTCCACTTCGCTCACTCGACAGGAAATTGAGCTTTACATTCTCACGAAGCACGTCCAGCACCGTCGGGTGACAATCGGAGAAAATGTACCGCCTTGGAGAACATGCGCTAATTACGCTCATACCAGTCAGTCCGACTCCACATCCAAGTTCCAATACATCTTTTCCGCAAAAGCGTTCCTTGTTCTCTGCGCACCATTGGCTCAACACTACGGCACCCTGTCAATTGTAGCTGAAGTAAATACTTGACTTGAATAATTCTTAAAAATACTTTCCAAACGATTTGAATAATATTGAGATTGCAAAAGGATGTTATAAAAATATAAAAGTTAAGCAATATACCTGCCAGCTACACAAGCCTGTAGTACCTCTGGAGATCAAGTTTGTACTCTCCTTCAATGTAACGCAATTTAACGTTCCGTTTTCAATTAAAAAATGACGATAATGCACAGATTCTTCGTCCGGCAATAATATTAATTTACAATACGCTGCGTATAAATCATCGTGAATTTCATCGCCGCCTTTCTCTATCTGAATCACAAATAAGAAAAAAAAAAAAATAATATTTCTTTTGGCCTTCTAACCTCTGCTAAAACAAACTACACACATTTTAAATGTACCTTTTGCATAAGCAATTTCAAAAATGCTTTCTGGTACGACGTTTTTATCGGATATCGTTTTATCAAGTCGTTATTTATCGTATTGTCCAAAATTTGCTTTTGGATATCTAACACGAGACCACTATTTTCGTATTCCTGTAAATATATTTCCTTTTATTGTCAAACAATCATTATGTCACACAAAACATAACAGTAACAGGTGGTGACGGATATACCATAAAATCCATTTTAATTAACGTAGTGCAGCAGAGGAACTGCTTCGTTAAATAATTTACGATACAAGCATCGCGACTCATGTCGTTATCCGTCAGCTGACAATGTTGACATATCTCGCCACGTGTCGTACAGATCGAGTAATCACAACATGCCGTGTAGTTCCTTGTTGGATTTTTCTTTTCAGATGTTTTTACACCCAGCTGCTCAGTGCGACATATTTACAGTTACATATAAGCTAGGATTGTATAAAAAATATATTCTAACACATTTTGTCTGTGCGTAGCACTAGAGAAAAGCGTGAAAGCGGTCACTTCGGTTTTTTGGTTAAGACCGGCGACACTCCCCAGTATACTAGCGCCTCACGTCCACGTTTTCAAAAAAAAAACTACGTGCCACGTCTATCTTATAACATTGTCGATCAAATCGTAGGACGAGAACGTGGTTCGTGTCCGTGCAAATCGTGTATTATATATGCCACATTCTTCTTTCTTTTATATTATATTCGTCTAAATTATCATAACAAGCGAGAGAAAAGGTTAAAAGTAATTTAAGCAATCAAATATTTTACAGTTCAGTTAATTACGGAATTGTTTTGCCTATTTGGCGTATTAAATTATCTGTTAAATTACCGTAATGTGTATCAGAAATTTGTAATAATTAACAGCAAGCAATTACGATTTTTCAAGAATAAAGCAGTCTCGAAAAGTGGATGTAGCACGGACACGCACCTCAAGTTGTATACCCGCGGTGCAGAGAATTGAATGTTGCTATGTAGTTTACTACCACTTCTTCAGAGGGCGTTAGTGCACTATTTTTTTGCTGTAACCCGTACGTGCAAAAGGCGGCGTCATGTCCTCTCTCTGGTTTCGTGCGCGCGCGCGCGCGCGCGCGGCAGTGTTTCCGACAATTCCCTATGGCCACGTCCAATAGCCGCACGGTGGCAAAGTGTCGCTGGACGGTAATGTGTCCGGAAATTATACCAGTTCTTCAAAATTCGGTTTGACTTGGCTCTCAGTGGTCGCTGTGCCTCGTCGTGCAGCGTTATACAGAATTGTCTCGTTATGGCTGATATGGGCCTAAGCCTGGACGATATAATCAAAAAGTCGAAATCGTCGTCGGGGATGCGCGGCAGAGGAGGGTGAGGCAAATTCAGCTAATTGCTCCATTTCGAGCTCTCTCGCCAACTTCATACGCTACGCGTTGCAATATTTATAACCTTGACGATCGGCGCTCTTCCCGTATTGACAAGAGAGACTGATCCGCGCGCGAGGAAAAAATCCCCTTCTGGGACCCTCCCGCCCGGATTATCTCGCGCAACAAGCCCGTCGCCGCGGAGTCGTGGCGGCGAGTGAGAATTGGCGCGCGTGGATATTGCTCCGGCTATCGAACGGCTTCGCTTCGCTAGCAAAATCTGCCGCGATTGCGCTTCTCTTAACGATTGCACAGTATTGTATCCGGCTCGCTCGACCGGAGAGCTCAGCCCCCCCCCCCGCGAGGGGTGTTTCTGGACCGCTATGTAAGGAGACACGTCACCGCCCGGTCTTTCCCGCAACGGTGGCTCTATTCCCTTCGCTGCCTTTCGACGAAATCGTCGGTGAATTTATATTGCTTAATTGTGCATGCAGGATACGCCGGGGCGTCAACAGAGGTGGATCGCGGGCGAACGGCTCCGTACGGGGTCGCGGCTCGCACGCGACGATCACCGACGCGCGGTTCAAGATAATACAGAAGAATCGGGAGAAGCTGACCGACGCCAGGGACAAGCTCGCCGAGATAGCGAAGCAGAGCGACGCGCGGCTCAAGTTGGACAAGATACGCGCGTTGCACTACAAGAAGATCGACGCCCAGCTGCCCCAGCTGTCGGGGATCTCGCGGAAGACCGGCCGGAATGGTAGACTCTCGTTGTCGACGAACAAGGTGACGTCGCTGATGCAGCATGTCCTACCGCCGAGTATGCCGAACAATTACATGCCGCCTCCCACGAGAGCGGTCGGATACAGACCGCCCCTCTCCGAGCCTCATTACTTAGGGGACATGAGTATGGATTATACTGATGGTACGTTAAACGTCATGTGAATGTATATTTGTGTACAGGATGTTGCGTATATACAATATTAGTAGCAGTGTAACGGGTTGCGAGGCAGACTTTGCAGCTACCGCGCAACCCGTCATACTGCCTAATATTATGTCTATGCAACACCTTGTATATACGTTTTAGGCTGCGTTCTAAAAGATATCTCACTAAGGATGCGTTACATTTAACGCTCGCAACGCTCGTGAGCATTACTTGTCCTTGCTAAACAACTTTGGTAAACAACAAGGATGAAATGATTCCAAGGGCGTTGCGAGCGTTAAACGGAACGCACTCTTAGTGAGATAGCTTTTAAAATGTTCCGTTGAAAATTATTGAAATAACACTCGTTAAAAAAGGAAAGTACTCTCATGTCAGCTTATCCCCTTAGATTATCTGACGGAGTCCCCTTCATTGAGGAGGACCGTGAGTAACGAGTACGCGCCAACACCCCCACCTCCACCTCCTGTGTTCAGTATTAATCCGATTTCTCCGTACACCTGGGTAAAGTCTAGGAACGCTAACGTAACTAGGATTCCGGCACGAAAGTCCGAGCTGGAGAAGGAACGAGAGAGGCAAAGAGATTACAAGCTTGCCGCGCGTTCTGCGATGGTAAATAATTTCGTCCCCTTTTACGCGAACCTCGTATGATTTCTGGCAAATTTCATTTGTGTCGATCTTTCTTCTGCCGCAGGTAAAAACTGTTTCACCTCCTTATAAAGAAGACTGGAGTTTTGGCACAAAATCAAGGTAAACATTTACGAGGTATCTTACGGAAATATTAAAGCATTGATCAATAGTAAACTCTTTACGATTTTTTGGTTGCAGAACAATTGTAGCAGAAGAAACTGCAGATTCCAAGTACTACGATTCCAGAAATCTTCGAGAGGTAGGAGTCAAATCGCGTCTCGATTCCTCTGCGAATAAGGCAAGAACGATGGGCGTTCTGTCGCGGCCGAAGGCGAGCTCCAGCTCGTCGGCGCAGTCGAACGGCTATCGAATTGTAGTATCCAACTTGCAAGCCAACGTCACGCAGGAAGATATCAAGGTGCAGTAGGAAAATTAATTCTAAATTTATTTCTCGCATTTGCTATAAAGTGTTGATAAAAAGTAAAGGAAAAAAAAATACTTTTGCATCCTGCAGGAATTATTCGAAGACGTCGGAGAACTGCTCGTGTCGAGACTAGTACGTCCAGGTACGGCGGAGGTAATCTACAAAACACTGAAGGACGCGACTAAAGCAGTTGAAACTTATCACAATCGACAGTTAGACGGCCATCCAATGAAATGTCTTCTTGTTAATCCACGACCAAAAAATAATCCGACTGGGCCAGCCGTTCGATCTCTTACAGAGTGAGTAGCGAAAATTTGTCTCTCTTTGCGCGTATTAAGCATACAGTTCATGTATATATATACATTTATTTTTACGATTCTATTCTATTAATTATAATTGCTGAATCGTGTGATGGTATATGAAAGTCGAAAGCAGCACAAATTCATTTATTTGAAACGGTGTCACATGTGTAGTCATTAATTTCTCGATTAATTTCTCGCATCTAATAATTATAATCTATTATGGCTGCACTAATTAATTCACAGTCTTAAAATAGTTACGTTGAAATATATATCGTTCGTAGGCAGCCGACGAGCTCCCCCCTTTTTTTTTTACCACGCAATTTCTTCTCTCTACAGGTCGAGACGTAGTATCAGCTCGAGTTATGTACAACCAAGTTTAGGAGCGGTGCATCGCGCATTATTCGACGATTCTTAATCGAATCTTAAAACGTATCCATTTTGATATAAGAAAGGATGAAGAAAAAAAAAAGAAATGTCTTGTATTTATGTGTAACGGACATTATTGCAGATTATTCTTAAGAAAGCGAATGGAGTAACGACAAGACGCAAAGTGCTCACCTCCTCCCATATGCGCGACTCCAATTCTCAGCTGTAATTGTATTAATAAACTTATACCGGACTCATTATCCGTAGTTTACATGGTCTGTACGGCCATCAGTAACACTGAAACGCTCGTGAATTATTTTCATGAATTATTTTTAGACGTCTCATCCTCTTATACTTCATGCACTTTTTTTTAGTTGCAACTTCCTTATTCTTACATCTTACATACTTCGAATGTAATAAGTTATACATGAGGGAATCCCTGAAATATTGGAGGTCGCGGACCTTATCCTTCGGTATTGAAGATAATAGAAAAAGTTCAGGCGTTCTGGTGTTAAAATATAGAGAGAAACCTATTTAAAATACAATATGCGGAACCGCGATTAATATCAGGTGCAAGATGCTTGTACATTTAATATGTCCGAATAAAATGGTACTCATATTCAGCTCCTTTGATATTCTTTTCAAGATATGGCGTAGATTTATGGTACAGATATGTTTAAAGGAAGTCATAACGCTCATAGAAATAACTTATTCAAGTTTTAATATACGTGATCTTCATAGTTTCAGATTTCAAAGATTATATTTCATGTATATCTATATGTTGGACAAGTGATATTGTTTTCGTGCTCCTATGCTACAAATTTACGCAGGAGCAAGGATACTGGATAAATTTTGTTTTCTCATTGAGGATCCGTATTACGATAAATTACGTGCTCGATAGAGCGCGAGAGAGGGAAGTGTCTTAATATGATAAAGAATTTATTTATTTATACGTACAACATCATCACAATATTCATACACTATAAAATACAAAAGCTAACACACCACGCATGCGTCTGCTGACATGCACTACCTCCCCGGGGGAAAAAAAGATATACGTTATCGAAGAGTAGTGCAAGTTTTCAAAGTCGGAAGTTGATATATTTTTTTTTTTTGACACGGAGAGTAAATGGCACATGGATAAAATTTTTTCTCTTCTCCGTAACGACTGACGACGACGGTGCCACGGGGGACGGAGGGCAGGGAAGGGGGATCGATACTCGTCGTCGTATGTTCACCGCGTGGAAGGAGAGGGAAGGGGGATATACAATAAGATACGAAATATTCGAACTTAAAAAACTAACGCGGACACATTAATTAGTGCCTATAGAAACATGCCGCTACACGTGTATCCGCGTCGTCGAAATATTTACAAGAAAGTACAAAACAATACTGGATCTCGTCGCGGGATGAATTGATGCGGAGATCAGATCTACCTCGGGATACGCACGCAATTGCGCGAAATCGAAATACAAAACTCTAAACTCTTGTACGGGCTTCGCCTCACGCTCGTCTTTCATTCGTCCTCGTTTAGTTCCTACGATAATGATGATTATTGGCTCTGGATTTGTTGTTAGGCGTGCGAAGAACCTCCGCGTAAGACAGCTCTAATCGCTTCAGCCGAGCCACCTCTTCCGACGCGGTGCTGGGTTTGAAGTCCTTGTACTCGTAATTGTTGTGCTGCTGCTGCTGCTGCTGATCGTTCGTGCCGCGCGCGGGACCGAACAGCTTCCTGTCCCTCGACCGATTCGGGTACGCGGTGTGCTGGCCGTTCAACGCACCGGAGTGCTCGTAGTCGGCGGGGTTGAACGGTTTGAATCTCCTTCGGCCGCCGCTGGACTTGGCCGGCACGAATTTCGGATTCGTCGTGGGTATTACGTCCGGCGCCGTCCGGTCATTCTGCTGCGCCTTCTTGACGGCGTTCTTCTTCGCCGCGGACTTCTTGCGGACGCGCAAGTTAAGGGACACGTAATCCATTCTGCAGCTCGCGTCCTTCGCGGGCTGTTGACTCGCGGTGGCGGCGGCGTTGCTGGACCTCTTGCCGTCGGACTGTTGTTTGCCGTCCTTCGGGATGTTGGCCGGGCTGGCGGTTTGCACCCTGAAGACCGGCTCCGAGACCACCGAGGACACCATGGAGGACATGACGCTCTGATTGTCGTCCGTCGCCTCGCTCTGCAAATCCTCCTGAAACGACGGGTCGTACTTCGGCTGCAACGGGGCGGGATCGTCCAGCAGCGGCAGCTTCTCGCCCTCGTCCTTCGCCTCGGCCGCCCGTTTCAGAACGCTGAAGATCTCGCTGAACAGCTGTCGGTACTCGGGCGTCTTGCGGAATCTGCTCTCGAATGGGCTGTTGTCGTCGTAGATACTGAACTTGCAGTCCTCGCCGTCGGCGATGGAGCACAGGAACGAGCCCGGTCGGTCGTCCGTCTGCGTCGCCTTGTTGCTGGTCTCGTCCGAGAAACCCGAGGACGACGTCTCGGCCTCGGAGAAGTCTGTCGGGGTGGCCGAGAAGGGCTTCTTGCCGGCTTGGCTCTCGGGTTTCGCTCGCGAGGCGGTCTTGGCCGATTCTGGGGCCGCGGCGACCTCGGAAGCGGCGGGATAGAAATTGTTAAACTCCCCGGACATCTCCAGCTCCTCCTGCAACGACATCGCGGGCGTGGCGTCCTTGCGACGGGGCTGACAGTGTCTCTGCACCTCCAACAGCGCCTGATACTTCTCTACCAAGACTCGATAAGGATTCGCGCTGTCCAGTTCGTCGGTACCTTCATTTTTGTTGCCTGTATCCTGTGTGCAGGAAATTAACGTGTGTGCAGTTGAAATTATGCAAAATGACTAGACAGCAGTAAGATGAAATTTGGTTAATTACGAATAATATGAATATATATATATTTAATTGGGGGAGTTATACGTACGAGAAAAGCGATCAGCGTTCGAATTTTACCACAAATTTATAATCTCGTATATGTGAAGTCACGAATAATTTTTATATTAATATATAATATAAAATATTATACGCAACTTTACTTCTTCGTTTTCAATTTACGTTAGTAATTATATTGAGACGTTGTGTGTGCGCAGAAATGGAGGATAACTGGAAGCAGAAGGGCAAAGGATCTGCCAGATTTATAGGATATTAAAGATTGCAAAGAGTTTTACGAGAAAATGCGTTTTATTTAAGATCATATAAATCTGGCACTTATACATTGTACAAAGTAAATCGATTAAAATCATTCGACTAGACGCAGCGATTTCAATAACAAGAGCCATGCTTAGAACAACAGCAAGCACAGACGTATTTACATTTGCTTATCCTAGATCCTTAATATTGCCGAGAAATAGACACAGTCTTCATAATCTTTGGGAATTAAATAAATCAATTTGCCATAATATATTAGATATCATAAATGCCCTCAACATTTAGAAAGGCACTATATGCTCCAGTAGATAATTTTTTTTAAATAGTAAATTTTACAACTTTTCAATCGGATAAAGCGATAGATAAAAATAAGAATAAAATTTTTCAATACATCACGTGTGTATATTATTAATATATTATCTAAGCTCGCGTGCTATTTTAAGAGAAGATTATAATCATATAATAAAATTAATCATAAATATTAGTATTAGTTATATAACAACAAAGAACTAAAACCTAAAGTCATCCTCGGAGGTCAAGATTAATATGTTCAATTAGTCAAATTTCTGAATTATTCTGCGCGTTAGCATGTCGAATCAAAGGATCTTTGATTTCCAATGTCGGAACAGCCAAAGCTTAAGGACAATCAGAGACATTTTGCGGAAGATGAACAGCGGTATTTGAAAAGGCGCGAGCATTATCGGAACAATGATATGGGATCTAACATAGACGATCGCTTCGGAAAAATGAAATAATAGCAACGGCACTCTCGTATAAGTAAATATCCTCCACAACAACGAACTACACCATTTACGTTCTGTCTTTGGCTTGGGTTTCGCGAAGTTTGTCACTTCCTAAAGCAGACAAAAGATAATTACTATCCTAGAGACGAGCATAACTGAACCAGAAAAGAAGCGACATTCTAGCGAGAGCAAAAGAAAGAGACTCGATTCGTGCAAACTCAAATTCACCAATAAGCAGCGGTACGTTCGCAAGAGTGTGAACCAATTGCTAGAAAAAAAAACAAAGACAAGAGGAAATACCTGCACAGTCATTTCGGAGTCGCGCTGATTCTCGCTGATTAACGACTCGGCCATACTTATGTCGTCAAACTCTTCCTGATCCAGCATTATCGAAAGCTCGTCGTGCGTCCTCGTGTCCATGCCGCGCAGGCAACGTCCGCACAATTGACCTCGTCTGTAAAGACGTATTCGCTTGTTGTACGCAAATATTGCCACGCCATGATATCATCACGCAAAAAAATTTCATGCCGACGAGTCCGTTCCGACAGCGTGCAACTTTTTAGCGTTCTCCAATTCCACTCTTATTTACATTTAAAGATCCCGCCCGGCGATGTAGCTTTTAATTAGGTATGTGGAGCGATCCACGTCGCGATTCAAGAAAGGGAAACGAATGGGAACGCGCGTACCTGACTTCCTCCAAGGTGCTAATCTCGTCTTGCAGACTCTTCACGTCTTGCGCCTTGTTACGCAACTCCGTTAATTGCTCCTCCAGCGCGCTGTTCTCTTGCAGCAAGGTGGTCAGCTGCTGACTGAGCTCCGTCACCTTCTTCTGCTCCCTGGCCCTCTGATTGCGAGCGTCCTGCAGCTGCCGCAGCAACGCGGTCATCTCCTCGTCGCTCGCCGCGGTCGCCTCGGTTGTCTCCTGGGAGGGCTTCGGCGAGCTCGGGGCAGCTCTCTGAGGAAACGAGAGGAGAGCGTTCGGATTCTCGTCCCGGCGAACACGAAAGGGGCCGACGACGGGAGGTGTGTCGCGTTATATGAAATACTGTTCGTATATACCTGTTTCTCGCTGCCACCTTGCAGCGTGTCCGAAGTCTCCCAATCGGCGCTCTGTTGCTGCTGCAGTTGCTGCTGCTGATGCTGCTGTTGCGCGCTACTCCTCGACGGGCTCGCGGCATGCTGGCGCAGTTGTTCGGTCAGGTCGTCAATCTTCTTCTGCAGCTCCTCGCATCTTATTTCCAGATTCTCGATAGTCACGGATTGGCTGCAGGTAGCGCGCGCAAATCGTTATATGATTATCAGTGGGAGCCTCGTTATTGCCGGAACGCGGTTGCCCGCGCGCGACTATATCGCAATTTCTCCGGACGACGGACGGACATCTGTTCGAAATGTCACCTCGCTCGGAGAAATGCGCGACGCACGTCTCCGCGGAGCGAGATTTCTCCGGAATTTCGGGTCATTCGCGACGGCGCGAAGCTGAAGGCGCACCGCGGCGTCTAAGGCCGATCTGTCGTCCGCCGTGAAGCGCGTTGACCCCGAAATCCCCGGACGGAATTTCCTCGGACGCGCACCGCATAGCGTTAACAACGACAACAACAAAAAAAAAGGAGGCTTGTTATCTTGTGAGAAATAGATTCCATTAAAGAGATTAAGATAGTGTTAAATAGGAGAATAATACTTAATAACTTTCCATGAACTTTAATTGTATCAGACGGTGTATGAATTATGCATTTAGAAAGGTGAGCTTAGAACGGTTCACATAGCCGATACAATACGAAGCTAACAAGATATAATAACAGATCTCGTTAGACCGGCCACTTTTCCGCGATACTTCTACTAGAATCTTATCTCACTTATCTGGAATATCAAGCGGTACCTCTTTCTTTCGAGTAAGATCACCAATTTTTCTTTCCTTTATTTATCTCCCCCCCCCCCCGGTTCGAAAATTGTCTCGCCAATCGAAGAAACGACGTCAACGAAAAAATAAAGGATATGGGAAGGATAACGCGCGTACCTCTTGATCAGCTTCTTATCGCTCGTGTTCTCGATCACCAGGTGATGATTCGCACGTTCCAGATCCTGCACGCTGACTTCCAGCTGCTCGTATACTTTCAGCCGTGTATTGTTCACCTCCCTCAGGGCGGCAGTCTGCTTTTTCATGTACTGCGGAACGAGCAAATAACACGCGTATTCATCGGACAGTGCAATTTCGAGGTTGAGCGACTCGGTAAATCGTTTGCGACTCGAATTTTCTTACTGTGCCCCGCGTTTTGTGGCTGTTTGAGTATTGTGCGCATTGTGCAAAAAAAAATACTTGTAAAAAAATACGGAAGACGCGCGGGAGCTATTAATAAAATTATCAGAGGGTAACCGAAGGGCAAACCGCGCAGTTTTGTCGCGCGAGCAACAATTATATCGTTCGAACACCGCGGTTACGATTACTCGCGGAAAGAATTACGATTACTAGGAGATTTATAGTAACCTCGATTTCTTGCGTCTGCTCCTCCACGGTAGCCTGGTGCAGCTTGATGATGTTCTCTAGCTCCTTATTCCGTTCCAGGAGGGTCTTGCCGAGCTCCGCCGCCAACTGTAGATCTGCGCAAAACGTGAGACGCTACTTTGAACGCTGTTTTTTTTTTTTTTTACCACGATCGGAAATATTTCGTCGCGAGCGCATTCCTTGTTTTTAATCTACTTCTGGTTTGGATCCCTCTGATACGCGCGGGGAAAAAAAGAGGGAGAATCGAAGCGTGAATGTGATGTATCGATAATTTCGTTTCCGGATCACCGTGTGCTGTGCCGGCGAAACCTGAGAGGGAATTCAAAGAAATATCTACGTTGACGGAATCGAAATCAAACCCAGACTCGCTCCTGAATGATAATTACGCGTCACCTGCGCTGCGCCGAGCGACGGGTTACAGGTTGCAGGTTGCTGCCTGCCGAGCGACGGCACGAACGGCCTGGTTCACGCGCCCGCGGCACTCCCTCATTCTGACACCGGCTAGGGCCAAGGACCTTCTCGCGGTGAGCAAACGAGCGACCGAGCTACCCGTTTCGCGGTACTCGGTGTCGCCGCGCAGCAACGTGACCCGCGAAGTTCACGGACAGCGGAGGCGGGACGGGGGCTCTTAATTGACTTTTTAATGCCACGCGAGCACGGCGCGAAACCTTCGTGTCACTGCCTCCGGACGCATTTCAATAACTAAACGCGTACAGACATCCGCACGAGAAAACGAACCCATCGGTATGGCGATTTTTAGTGATCTTTCGCCGAAGTGGAGAGAAACTTTTTCTATACCCTTTTCTACCCCCTTCGGTCACGACAGGTTATAATTAGCCACGCAATAACAATCGCGATGATCTGCCAACGTTATTACTTCTTCCGTACTGAACACCACTCCTCTTGACCACAACATCACACATTATCGGTGGCACCGTCGATCTTTTTCGCGCGGATTCCAGTTCGCGTCTCTTCTCACTCCGTCCACGCTTATGTAACTTACTATTCTCGGAGGAGGATCCCTTAAGACTCTTAAGGTACGCGAGCTCGATAGAATAATCCCAGCCTTCTAACGAGTTGGTCTGGGTCTGCGGGTCCCAGACCATATCCACGCTCTGCCCGCTCATGGCTCGCTCGTGATGGAACCTGCCAGTTCCCCGTCGTTCGCCCTATCCGACGCACACAACCGGTTCCGTCGGAGGCAGCCGGTCTTCTGTGGTCCCCGTGGTAGCCAGCCCGATCGAAACGTCGTGTGCCCACCGAGCGGTAATCCAACTCCCTCCTTTCTCGTCGCGCTCTCGTCTCTCCCACCCCCCCAGCCTTTCTTGCGCTTCAGGGGCCCGACTTCTGGCCGTTCCGATCGACGGGGTACCGAGGGGGGGGGTCTCACTTCACCACCCCGGCCACTTTCCAGTTGTTGTGAATTTCGGATAAGCGTCCAAGCGCAATGACACAGAGTGTCGTTGACACTTGAACCGAGCTTGCAAAAGTTAGACCCCCTCCCTCCTGCTCGAAACCGGAGCAGCATTGACCTTTAGGAGAGTGGCGCTAAACTTATCGCATAAGAAAAACGTTCATTCCGCGATTCTTTCCGACGCGGGGAACAACAATAAATCAAATCTTTCGCCGTTCCCTCTCTCGGGAGCACTTAGCTCCCCTAAACGCTCCTCCGGTACTCTCACTCCGGAGTACTCATCCTTTCCCTTCTGCCTTTCTACGTGGCTCGTTCCCGTCGTTCGCGGGATGCTCCGGCGCGATAAGAGAAGGTGTCCCACTTCTGGGATCTTTCGTCGTTCGCACACCGCGCGCGGGTATCTTCCCACCGAGGGAAAATGGGGGCTGTAGGTTGACGATGAAGGGTGTGATTTATTGATTTGACGGGTAACGAATAAGGGAAAACCGTCGTCGGCTCGCTTGAAGATAAATTCGGATAAATCGCGTAAGTTCGCTTATAGAGTGCCTCGCGTATATATTCGCATTTTCCACGATCGGAAACGACGAGACGTAAAGTCCACTTAGCTAACGACAGTGTTCGAAGGATGACGAGCAGGTTTTGTTTACGTTAAGACTAGTCACCACGGTTCGTTCCATTGTTTCGTTATCCATTGTTGAGGTAGTAATATTAATTAATCCGAAGCTACCGGACGAATAATAGTGATTAAGCCGCGCCGTTCCTGCGTATCAACGTTTAGTTACGTTACGTTCATAGTCGACAAAACCTTGATCCACTTGGACATAATGGCGAATGCAGCGACCGGCGACCGGCGACGCGCGGCATGTATAAAAGCTTTATCCGATATCGTTTGACACGTTCCCAGCCCACGGTGTACGTTTGAACGTATCGAAGAATCGAGCGTGAATATTTCATGCTCGTGTGTTTGCAGCGTGCAACAGAAGGCTTTCCCTGAATGTTGTCTGGACTTAATTCTCGTAGAAAGGTTGTTAAAGAGACGAGACGCGTTTGAAAAGTGAACGATTTGAGGAATGACTTGAGAACGACATCCAACTCACGTAGGTTTCACGGACGGTTCGTGCAGAAAATCGGGCAGCCAGTTAACCGCGGCTCGTAAATCATTTATATACATTTCGTGCATCCTATCTGATTGCTCTGGAGCGAATCCGCGAATGCTCCATTGTTTCTAATGAACCCGCAATCGGATTCAATCTGCAACGCGCGACCTCCGAAAACATCGGCCCAGTGCCCCCGTTACTCGCACAATCACGAGATGCGGCACATTACCGCCGCGCGTATCGCGATCGGCGAGCCGAAAAGGAAAAAGAGAAGAAGAAATTCCCTATTCTTTCGCTCCTGACGTCTCGGCCGTTACGTTCGGCTTAATGACACGGTCAGTGGTAAACCAACCGTTACGACGAGACGTCGACGAGGAGGATTCGCGCGAGCGATATACGAGGTGTATATCCGAGAGAGAAGTGTGTGTGCGATGATAAATTTCCCAGACGTGTTCCGTTGACCCTTAATAGCCTCAGCTATCAGCAACAAAAGCCGTTCCCGATACCAATACGATACGACGGCCTCACCGGCGCTTTATAGGAAACGCATGATGCAGCCCATGTATGCACACGTGCGTGCGCGGGAAAAGTGGTACGCGCGAGAAATCGATGACGGCTCGCGTCCAGAAAATCGCGCTCTCCGCGTATATGCATGCAGTATACACGCGGAAACAGGCATCTCTCGCGCGAGTCGCGGGTTCGCCGGGGGTCACGGTGGAAGCGAATTAACGAGCCGATCGCTCTCGTCATTACGCGCGCGAGACATCATTACGCGGCGTGACTGCACGGTTAAGGAGACCCGGACTCGCGCGACGGCGAGCGAGTGTATCACCCGCCGATACCTGCACCGTCGCGATTAACCCCCGCGGGTTACCTCCGTATACGCGCGAGCTGCCGGGAACCCTCGCGATAACGATCCTCGATTCGTTACCGCTCCCGGGTGAAAGTCTTATACTTTTACGTCGACCCGCGAGAAAGAGAGAGAGAGAGAGATTGCGCAATAGTATTTAGTATCTGTTTTTTTTCTCTCCTTCTTTTCGACGCTTCCGTCGTTCACGCGGACGTAGATAAATTACACGTTCGGAGCCGTGTTATCAATCGTGAAAAGGGACCGCGCGTAAACGGACAGCCAAATTAGAGCGCTCGGGCGAGAGCCGTTTTGCGATACGCGAAACTCGCTCGTTCCGCGCGAGGTAACGCGCGTCCGACAGCTCGCTCGGATAGCTCGCTTGCAGGCGAGCAACGTTTCGGCGGGGCTTGCACTTTCCTTATGCGCTCGAAAGGTCAAGCCGATGCACCTGCGCACCGCTCAAATCCCGCGGCTCCGACACAATAGGTTCTCTCCCCCTTTTTTCGTCCGTCTCTTTCTCTGTCTCTTTCCCTCCCACCGTTCCCGCCGCCCGCGCCCGTCAGGTCCCGATGAAGAGATTAATAACGTTTCGCCCGGAACATTCTCAGGAGAAAGTTCACCCGACGCGAGGGGGATTTAGATTCTATTCCGAGGTCGCCGGGTCATATTCCAGTCGAAATATCACGGCGCGATCGGCTTCCCGCAACACGTCCTCCTCGCGCGGAACGCGGCGGCGACGAGTTTCCTTCGCCGTCATCGGCGGGAACATCGAGTTTCGCCGACTTTTGGTTCCGCCTCGCGTTCGCTTCGTTAGACAAAACTCTTCCGCCCATACGTGTCTCTCGATACCGGTTCATTAGTCCCGCGCACCACGCCCTGCGACACACTCATATACCGCGGCACGAAGCGAAACTGGGAGCGGGAAATTGAGAGCGACAAAGCGCTGCAGGCTCTCGCGCGAAAACTCTCGTCGGCAGCAGGTATTCAATTATCGGGTTGATTTCGTCGCTAAAAGGATCGCCGCGCCGGGTGGAGATATCGGACCCGATCTCGGTCGGCTCGACGGTCGACGGTCACCGGAAATATGCTCCTCCGCCAGTGACTTTCGCGTTCCTCGCGAGCGATAACATCGCGCGATGCCATAATTAAAGCGCATGTCGACGCGACGACGGTATAGGTATGCGCGCGCGTGGGTGGAGAGAAGGCGAGCGCGTGACACACGAGATTCGAATATCTGTCCCAGTTGAAATCGTGCGGTGGTAGCTACAATGCCATTCATGCACGCTCGCTCGCTCGGCTCGCTCTCTCGGGCCGGGTCCCACCTTTTCCCTCGCCTCGTCCTTTTCGCCGAACCGGTAACCGGAGCCGTCAGCGCGGTGCTGAAGCATCCCGTGGGCCGTGTTCCCAGCCATTGTTTCGGGCCAAGCGTAAAAAAAACATTCGACGCGACGCGAGGTGCCCGGCGAGGTTCAACGACGTCGTCGAAAGCGCGCTGAAAGAGAGTACGCGCACGAAAGTACAGCGCGGCGGAATTTCGAGCGGAAACGCCAGAAGGCAAGGGAAGGGAGAAGGGGGGGAATTCGAAACTTTCCGAGTAAATCGAGACGACGAGGATTTAAATTATACGTGTCATCGCGTTTACGTTGACGAGACAGGCGAGGAGCGCAAATGTTTGAAACGTTACTGTCACAGTCGCTCCACTAATATCGGTCGTGAGACGATTTAGAAACTTGC